TTAGTTTGTTTCGCGCTCCTAACCCGGGTTTTCCCTCTTTTCTTTTAAGATCTTGACATTGACCGTACTCTTCTTGATTTATTGAGGCTAAAAATAGACTTGCATCAGGACAAGGGTAAAAAGAGTCTTAGATCCAGGGTCGCATCCCTGAAGAGCAAACACGTGCCCACCATTAAAATTGTTTAACTTTTTGTTTAGCTTATGGTTTCCTCCTTTCTTGTCGTTAACCATTGGGTGATTTTCTAATAAACTTCAACGACGTAGTGCTCCAAACTCGACCTTTTTAAAGTCGCCTTTTGGCGACCTGAAATTATACACTGGTCGTCAGAATGCAATATTACACGAAGGTTCTGAAATATTTTAAATGGTACCTAGCTATCGCAATCGAATTTGGAGTTGCACGCGACATCTCAAGGCAGGCTTTATACCTCGACAACCAGGGTGAAAGAGGCGAATTATGGAGAAAACAGAGATTAAATGATAATTCGTGCAAATTTTTAGCTCAATTTAACTTTAGAAAGACCATAAACATTAACTAGTACATACAGCTCGGCACATGACCGCCGAGCACGACTTTTACTGCAATTTTAGTTGTTCCTTTTCTTCTCTCAATGGTGACCAAAATGGTCGCAGCTTGGAGCGCTGCCTTAGTTGCATTTATCGGGTGATGAAAACGGTGTGGATCCACCTTGGCTTCCAATAAATTCGGTCAGACAAATGCAGAGAAATTTCGAGGAACGTTAGAGTGCTACTAAGTATTTTTCAGTGGGCAGGGGGGCACAGTTACAATTTAGGATATGCGAAAAAGGATATTAAATTTCGCGTTCTAGTTTGAACATTAATTTTCTATCTCGGTAATAAATGTGAACGTTAATATTGCGTCTAATCTGTACGTTTCTTTGGTGGGAGTGAGTGGTCAAACTATACAACAAAGTGATTGTTTTAGAACGATATAATGCTTTGTTGTTTCAAAAAAGTTAACCTTAGCTTAAATGACTTAAAATAGCGTTTAATGGGTTTCTGAACTGGAGTGTTCAGGAACTGTAGGTGCCTCCATCTTTGACCATATTTACTTTTTTCAGGATTTAATATGGACAGATACGTGGCACTTCAGGTAAAAGAACAAGGTTCATTTTAATGTGCATCTCAACTAGAACTTTGAACTAATGCGTGTGAAAGAATTTAATACCAGACCCAGGAAGCACTTTCGTTTTAAACTATTAAGTAAATCTGGGCGTATTCACGCATTGCTTCGCGTGGACATTATGATAAAATTCAAGTAAAACTTCAAGTAAAAAATCAAGCGGGTTTCTCACGACACGAGAAAAGGGCTTGTGTAAGGTCAACATCGGCTTAAAATTAAAATTCCTGGTATAACAATTGCTCATTTTCTGGATCTCAAATGAAATTTAGGAGCTTTGAACTTAAATGTGTGAAAAAAAAAAATAGAAATCAGATAATGAGTACAATGAAATGATACCATAACTGTGTTTTCTGTGAAATACACGAGTGTATACGGGAGTTTCCCTTTTGTTAAAGAACATGCAATCTTCAAGGTTTGCAGCAAAGTCACTTTTGATAATTTCAAATAGTTGTAGTAAACCCAGGCAATCTTTACGGAGATATAAAGTTGGAGAATTGAGAGTTTTGAGCCGATGCTCAAATGAAGCGTCATTTATCAGTCTAACTGTATTACGTTGGACATGATCGAGTGTTTGGGAAAAATGCTTGGTGCGAGTTCCAAACAGGACAAGCGTACTCTAGTAATTTATTGAGGACGCACCATGCATTTGTACTCGGTACAAAAAGCATTTATAGAACACTTCCCATGTAAGCGTACAAGTAGTTATGGCCATTAATTGACCTTTTTCATCTGGCGTCGATTGATAAAGCTTGGGATCTTCATAAAAGATCATTAGAGACAAGAACTCCAAGATATTTGGGGTGTAAGCACTCCCATATAGCATACACTAGTATTTCTTGGTCGGCGTTAGTTAACAACCATGTGCAACACTAAGCTGAGATTCGTTGGAGGCTTTTTTGAACAGTATCAGGTATTATGGAGGGACAAACAGAAATGATTACGAGAGAGTAGGACTTGATGGATCGTGAATGTAATTAACATACAAGATAAGTAAAAGCGTGCCCAGTATGCTTCCTGTTAAACTCCAGACAAGACTGATGCCCTGCAGTCAGATAGACATTCTTCGATTACAAGACGTTGAGAATGACCAGTGCCAAGGTAATCAGCCAACCACGATGGAAGCCGGCGAACCGGTTATACCAGCTCTTTCTTACTTTAGGATGACGTTGTTGTGTAAACTGAGTCGGAATCTCTGTCGAAGTAGATCGAATAAATACTACATCAGTAGTTTGTCGCTCGTCTAGAAACCTTATTCACAAGTGGGAAAGATAAGTTAGTTGCGATGTGAGTAGCAAGGACGCAAAGCCAGTGTGACTGTTAAGATGATTAGCTGAGTTCTATAAACGCAGAAATTGGTTGTAGAACCGTCTTTGTAGCGATCTTACCAAAAGATTCGTCAGGGAGATGGGGCGATAGTTAGAGACTTGCTCCTTTTCGCCCTTTTGAAAAACGGAATGAGTTTTGTGTGCAGATTGAAGTGGATAATTATTTTGGCAGATATGTTTATATTGCTGGAGCCGCTTCACGAAGATATGGGCTGACATGCCATTGGGACCATGGGCTTTCTCAGTCAACAGATCTTTAAACCACTACGCAATTTGTCCACTTCTTTAGAACAAAGCAAGACTAGAGGTGACTTGATTGATCTGTAAAAGGTTGGAGGCCTTTCCTGACGAAAACTGATTTTAGGACCTCGGTAAATGAATAAGCGATGTCGAAGCCATTAGTTAGACCTTTTCATGTGGTTAAATCTTGACTTTGCCTTTGAGTGTGAAAATCTGTCATAAATGTCCTCCAAATTTTTCGTGTTGCGGTTACATATATGCGTTTTTGACTCAGTGCGCGTGTTTTTTCCAGTAGCATTCCGTAAGCTCGTATTTTGCTTTGTTTCTAATCAACTTGAACTCGCCAGTTTATTCGCTTATGATTGCAAATTTGAAACTAATCGAAGTTCCACCATTATGTCAAGGAAGCGTAAATTGCAACGCTTTGGAGGCAAAACGTAAGGAAAATTGGCATCTACTTGTTGTTTGCATGATAGATGGGGTGCTCTGTTAGTGTTACTGTAGCAGCCAAATGGCCTAATTGTGAAAAAAATTACATTAATTAGGATATCGATGCAATATACAGTGAGGGAAAACACATTAACTGCATATTGTCAAGGGACAAAAATTGAAATACGTGGTGGCTAAAACTTTCAGTTGTGAATTTCTATATATATAAAAAAACTACAACTGTCCTTTATTTTGCGCTTGAGGAGTTTGAATTTATGCTTAGTGCTTTGTTAAAACGAAACATTGGTTTCGTTCAAGCAGTAAGTGTTGCGTATTACTAGCGTTGTGCTTTCATGATAGACCTTCTTGTGACATTTGAAAACAAAACTTGTTTCTTGACTTTTTGTATAATTATAGTTGTTACACAGGAATAACTAGGTAAGGAATACTGCCAAATATCCTAGTCGGAAAAAAAAGGAAATTATTCCTAACCGGATCGGAATTGAACCTCTAACCTTCTAGAATTTTTGGCTCATCTTTGCAGGCGCTTTCGGAGTGATGTCACGTGGTTTCTCATGGGGGTGGAGACTGAAAAAATCTGCCCATACAAGAAATCGTTGTCGAGTTTTTTTATTCTATACAAGAGTAAATGAGGAACCTTTTATTTTAAAGACAATAATGACCAATTATGGCTGGAAGTGTTCAGTGTTAATTTTTTGGATGCAGTAGCGACTACAGATGTCTCCACAGGAAGCAATAAAGACGTAAAACTTGTCAAAACTTGGACTGTAAATTTTGCGTAACTAAAGTAATTGTCTCATTTTGAGAGAATGAACAGACTCGTCCGCGTCTGCTCATATGGGTAAATTTTATCACTTTCTTGCCCCCCTGAAATACCACGTGACATTGCTTTTATCCCATCAATCCTAAAGCGCGTGCAAAGATGGAGAATTATTGCTAAGTCTGGATCAGAGTTTTGACTGACACTCGAAGAGACGGGTCTTTATTTCTTGTCTTTTTTTGGTTTGTTTGTTTGGTTTTTTTTGTCCAAATTATTTTTTGAACTTTTGGGATAATATACACGATTTTGCTTGAAATTACTTGTAAATGTTGTTAAGGCAATCACATAAACAAATCAAATCTAGCTATTATGCCTTGTCATCATTCAGTGTTTTTATACTTTACGCAGAAGAACCGATTTCCATCGAATTTTTGCTCCAGTTCGACGAGCAACACCCTCCATGAGCTTACTAGCCATAAAAGCAAATGGACAAACGACATCGTAGTGGAATACAATTTCTTTCATCCCCGAAAGCCGCTCGAGATTTGTCCTGTTCTGTTCAGTTAGTACTCTTTCTTCGCTGCTACGACTATTACCATATTCCATTTGTCTGCGGTGTGCTACCAAAACAGTTTATGCGTCATGTTTATGAACATGAACTTAGAAAAGCGCAAGTTCACCTAGAGAGAAATCTTTTATCAGTACAGCCCTCTTTGTGGTGGAATATTAATTCCACGGGGATCAGTATCTTTTTACATGTGTTTTCCACAAATTTACGAGAGGATAAGGTAACATCAGTGTGTCATGACCTCCAGAATTGGATACCTCCCGCGACAGGGGCGAAATTTAGGACTTCGCCAACTACCCGGGAAGAAATCAGACTGCCCGATTCCGCGAATCCAGCCACAAATCAAACCACAACAGATGTTTAAGAACGCGATTATAAACGATGGCACAGCGGCTACATTATCAGGACTTCGCGTGCGAGTTGATAGGTGTCTAACTTGAGCACACCGGTCGACGCCGGAATCTTGCGCGTTTCCTGCGTGGGTGGGAAAAGGAATGACATGCTTAAAAATTCATGATCAGCGATTGGCCCTTTTCGCAGATCCCCAATTTAAAGAGGATGGGCGACAGATCTCGTCACAACTCCATAACTAAGTTTTGTAGACCGCAAAACTCAAAACTGAAGATGGGTGCTCAAGATCCATTAGACACGGCCACAGACAGTCAGGAAGATTCTCAGACAGAGTTTGACATTCCCCTTTGGTTGAGCTTCGTTGTTCTGATTTCTACGAGTTCATCATTTTTCTTCTCACTGGTCTCCAACTCTAACCCGTTCTTGACAAGCAACACTGGGTATGCGCACGGAGGTGATATGTACTCACATCAAGTCGAAGCACTTTACTTGAAAGAACTTCTTCAAGGTGGAACAATCGATCTTTGGTTCGATGAATTAACATTGGGCTACCCTTTCTGTCTTGCCTATCACCCACTTCCATGTCTGCTTAATGCCAGTCTCATGATCTTAGGAGAATCGTAAGTAAAACTCTGTTTTAATTCAATCCGTCAAGTAGACAGTTTCATGTGGCGACTGGGTTAAGAGGGAAAAAAAATCGTTGAAAAAGAAAAAACAGATTATACATTAAAATAAGTTTGCAAGTTTGCAAGTTTCAAAGGGTGACAAAACAGTTTTATTGTCAAAAAATTTGTCTTTCCTTAAAGTTTTTGTGCGCAGGAGATTTCGTCCATTTTATAAATTAAATAAATTCTTATTCAGTGTTACGTAACTAATCTTTAACTTCAATTAAGTTGTTTCCTTGACCGATAACACATTACTTGGACTTTCTCCTGTCGTCTGAATAAAAAGGCCCAGAATATTTAAAGTCAATTATTAAACCTCAAAGTAAAAGAAATAACTGAAGTTTATTGTTCCCAGGAATGGCAATAGTGGAACCTTCTTTTGTCCTCTGAAATGGGGAGAGTTGTTCAAGTTCACTTGTTAAAAATCCTGATAGTCACATTTATTTTGCTTTGAAAAACACAGGGATGTTTTTCTTCAAATTTTACTTGGGAAATCTTCCTGTTTGGTTCAATTCCTTTGAAACAGTTATCACTTAATCTGTGCAGTGGCAATGCCATGCACGTAGGAAGATTTTCAGTCAGTTAAAAAGCCTGGTAAGGATAATCTTTGAGAGAAGAATTCAACAGGGTGGTAAAATGTATTGCACCTTGGATAGAAAGGACATTTGTTTAGCTTATGAGAAAGTGAAAATAGTTCCGTGACAAACAACTTTGCTCTGGGGACGCAAAGCTGTTATTGTTTCCAAAGTTAACAGTTTCTTTTGTTGATTGACTGGAGGAGTTCATCTCAGCTTACAATTGTGTTTGAAGATTAAAGAAAACTAGTCAAACATACTAGTTGTGAAATAATGCCACGATAGCCTGAAATAATCATATACTGGGGTATATGGGTCGAAGGAATTAAACCATTCTGATGATCGCAATTGTCTTCATCGTCAGATTTTGGTCCCTTTTAATGTTGGTCAGTTTCTGTTATCAGGTGGTCTAAATTGTTTGTCATGATTTTTGACTTTGTAAAATACTAATGTCAGCTGCGCTTTTATGTGAGGTTTTCCTGTATTCAAAGCAGGTTGAAACAAAAGAAAATGTAGGAAAATCAACTTGTGCAAATTGGGTAAAATGTTACCTCAGTGGGTTACATTGCTAGTTGACTTGTGCAGAGTGATCCCAGAATCAAGTTTTTATGTTATCATAAATACTTTGTCTACTAAACAAGTGAAGCAAACTTTGGGCAACTCACCCAGTATAGTCCAATGGAAGTCAATTCCAAGTGGTCCCTAATTGCTCGTCCTAATCTATAACAGGAGCTTGATAATTCCCGTGACACTTGACTGTAAATGTAAGCTGTGTACTGCTGATACTAGTCAAACCATGGTCGCATCCATGAAGTCCAAACATGTGCACTGCATTAAATCTGTTTAAAAGCTAATGATTTCCACCTTTCTTGGCGTTACCTATTATTTTCTAGTGAACATGAACTACATAGTGGGGTTTTAAACTACCATACACTTACAATTTAGAATATACCAGAAAGAACATAGATTTTCGCTTTCTAGTTTGACGATGAATCTTGTCGGCATTAAATCACGGTGAACGTTGATATTGCGTTTAATCTGTAGTCTCTTTTGGACAGAGTGGTCAAGCTAACCGACAAGGTGATTGTTTGAAACCATATAATGCTTTGCTTTTTATTTTTAAAAGTTAACCTTAGCTTAAAATCACCTGAAACAGCGCTTAATGGTTTCTTAAGTCTTCCCACCTGCATGGGCCTCCATCTTTGACCATCTTTAGTTTTTCCGGATTCAATATGGACAGATACGTGGTACATCAATTAAAAGAACAAAGGTTCATTTTTAATGTGCATCTCAACTAGAACTTTGAACTAATGCGTGTGAAAGAATTTAATGACAGACCCAATTAGCACTTTCATTTTAAAACTATTAAAGCAATTCAAGAGAAACTCAAATTGGAGTCCTTTTCTCGTGTCGAGGGAAACGCACTTGATTTTTTTACTTGCATATTGCAGCATAACGTCCACGCGAAGCAGTGCTTGAATATGTACGTGTAAGGTCAACAGCGGCTCAAAACTAAACTTCCTAATATAACAGTCGCTTATTTTCAACCTGGATCTCAAGTGAAATTTTAGGGGCATTCAATTTAAATGTGTGTGAAAACCTGAAAAAAAAAAAATACCTAGAAACTACATAATGAGTACAATGAAATGATGATACCGTAACTGTTTTTCTGTGAAATACACGAGTAACATAAACCTACAAATTGCTTACAGAAAAACATGTACACGAGATTTGAAATTTGTAGTAATTAATTACCGTCATATAAGAAATCTTTAACCCTTTTTTATACTATAAACTGCGTTACATTCGTACAATTAAGGCATGTAGATTTTTCCAATTAGCAATATCTAAACCAAAAAGTGCTTTTGAGAATTAACGTCGGTTCGAAAGTCGAGCTTTCAATGCTTGTAACGATGGCTCTGTGTAATCTTCAAGGTTTGCAGCAAAGTCACTTTTGATAAATTTAAATAGTTGTAGCAAAACCGAGGTAATCTGTACGTAGATATGAAGTTGGAAAATTAAGAGTTTTGTGCCGATTCTCAAATGAGGTATCATTCCCCTCGATCAGTCTAGATGTATTACGTTGGACATGATCGAGTTTGTCGGAAAGATGCTTGTTGCGGGTTCCAAACAGGACAAGTGTAGTCTGGTAATTTATTATGGACGCACCAGAAATTTGTACTCGTGTACCAAGAGCTTTTATAGGAACACTTTCCATGCAAGCGTGCGCGTAGTTGTGCCCATTAATTGATCTGTTTCACCTGGCGACGATTGATTAAACATGGGATCTCCATAAAAGATCATCAGAGACTCGAAGAACTCCAAGATGTTTGTGTGGTATAGGCACTGTCATTTACCATACACTAGTATTTGTCGGCCGGTGTTAGTTCTTAAGAACCATGTGCAACACTAATCTGCTATTTGTCGGAGGCTTTCTTGAACAGTATCAGGTATTGTGGAGGAAGGAGCACTACAGACTACTTGAGTATGGTAAGCACAGATTTCAGCAGGACTTGATAGGCGGTTAATATCTATACAGCATAACTAAAAGCGTGCTTAGTATGCTTCGTTGTGGAACTCCAGACAAGACTGTTGCCCTGCAGACGGATAGAAATCCTTCGATTACAAGACGTTGAAGATGACCATTACCCAGGTTGACCGAGGTTATAAGTCAACAGCGATTGAGTAAAACCGGTTTTATCAACTATTTTTAACTTTAGAATGACGTGGTTGTGTGAACTGAATCGATCGAAAGCTTGGTCGAAGTAAATCGAACAAATACGACATAAGCAGTTTGTCTGTCGACCAGAGCTCTTATCTCACAAGTGCAAAAGATTGGTTTGTTGCGATGTGCAGGAGTAGCCAGGACGCCAAGGCAGTGTGACTGTTAAAAGGATGAGTTGAGTACTATAAACGCGGAAGTTTATTGTTGTACAAATTTACTTGGGATTTTACCAAAAGACCTGTCAGAGAGCAGTTTAGAGAAATGGCCATGGAGCAGATTGAAGTGGATAAAAATTTTGCCATAGATATATAAATTATTGCAGTTGTTTCGTGTGGAGATATATGGTGTGATATGCCACGGGACTATGAGCTCCCAGTCCACAAATGTTTAAACCACTGAGCAATTCATCTACACCTTTAGAACGAACCAGGACTAGAGGTAACTTGATGTCTGTAAGGTTGGAGGCCATTTTAATGAAACTTTGTTATGAACTTGTTTAATAGCTGAGCCTTGTCGAAGCCATAGTTAGCTTTTCGGCGCTGTTGAGCGACTAGCCCGCCTACAGACGTTTCTTATTTCCTTTGTGTGTTGTTGAATGTGTCATTGACCGAGCGTGTTTTTTCCAATAGCTTTTCGTGAGCTCGTATTTTTCTTTGTTTCTAACCAACTTGAACTCGCGAGTTTACAGTCGCCTATGCTTGTTAGTTGGCAGATTTGAAACTCTTAATCGAATTTCCACTGAGCTGTCAAGGGAGCGTAAATATCAATGCGTTGGAAGCAAAACTACACGTAAATTAGCATCTATTTGTTGCTTGCGTGGTAGTAAGATGCTCTGTTTGTTATATTTTGGTAGCTCAACGGCTTAATTGTGAAATATTTTGCATAAATTAGGATATTGATACAATATACTGAGAGGAAAAACACACTAACATGTTGTAAAAGGACAAAAATTAAAATCTGCGGTGGCTAACTGACTTTCAGTTGCGAATGTCTATATATATCGCTGTTCTTTAGTTTGTCTTGCTTTCAGGGACTTTGAATTTACGCCTAGTCCAGTAGGTTTTAGCGGAACATTCGTTTCGTTTAGGCAGTAAGTGGTGCGTTTGTTACTTGAAAAATATTGTGTTTGATGATAGACCTCAGTCTGACATTTGAAAACCAACCTTGTTTCTTGATTTTTTTGTATTATTATAGTTGTTGTACAGCAATTAGTAGATAAGGAATACTGCCGAAGGTTGTAATCAGACAAAAAAGGGGTAAAAATTTCAATCCCCCAACCTAAATAGAACCTGTAATCTTGTAGATGTTTGACTTGGTGAAATCATAATATTCCACCTGGTAAATAAGGAAGGTCACAAGTTTTATTCCCGCTCCTAACCCGGGTTTTCCTTTTTTTCTTTAAAGATCTTGACATTGACCGTTCTCTTCTTGATTTATTGAGGCTAAAACAGACTTGCATCTGGACGAGGGTAAAAAGAGTGTTAGCTCCAGGGTCGCATCCCTGAAGAGCAAAAACGTGCGTGCTATTAAAACTGTTTAACAGCTAGCTTATGGTTTCCTCCTTTCTTGCGTTAACCATTATTTTCTGGTAAACTTCAACTACGTAGATTCTTGCAGTGCTCCAAACTCAACCTTTACAAAGTCCCCTTTAAACGACCTGAAATTATACACTAGTCGTCAGAATGCAATATTACACGAAGGTTCTGAAATATTTGAAATGGCTGCCTTGCCATCGCGATGGAATTTGGGGTTGCACACGACATCTCAAAGCAGGCTTCATATCTTGACAACCAGGGTGAAAGAGGCGAATTATGGAGAAAACAGACAGTAAATAATATTTCGTGCAAATTTTTAGTTTACTTTAACTCAGTTTAGAAAGACCATAAACACTAACTATAATTCACTACCGCCTTGACACATGACCGCCGAGCACAGGTCGCTAAATCGGCGACTTTCACTGTAATCTTAGTTAATAAATTACAATATTACAATTTAGGATATACGGAAAAGGACATTGAATTTCGCGTTTAAGTTTGAAGATGAATTTTCTGTCTCGGAAATAGATATGAACGTTAATACTGCGTATAATCTGTACGTCTCCTTAGTGAGAATGAGTGGTCTGCAAACTAAACGTCAATTTGACTATTTTGAAACTAAATAATAATTTGTTGTTTTAAAAATGTTAATCTCAGCTTAAAATCACTTGAAATAGCGCTTAATGGTTTTCTGAACTGCAATCTTAACAAACTGCATGGGCCTCCATTTTTTACCATATTTACTTTTTCCCGATTTAATATGGACTGAGACGCGTGGTACTAATATAGCAGAAAAAACGCTCAGTGTTAATCTGATCTCGACTAGAACTTTGAACTAATGCGTGTGAAAGAATTTAATGACCGTAGAAGTAGTTTAAGAATCAAAGCAAATCTAGAGAGACTCCAAACGGAAGCCCTTTTCCTGTGTCGTTAGAAACCCCCTTTTATTTCTTACTTGACTTACTTAAATTTCTGTGTAAAATAAGTACGTGCGTCTAAGGTCAACAGTGGCTTAAAATTGAAATTCTTGGTACGGTATTTAACATAACAATCGCTTATGTTCAAGCTGGATCTCAACTGAAAATCAGAAGCTTTGATCTTAAATACGTGTGAAAGCGTTTAATAAACTACAAAACACTTTTATTGTAAGCTTATCAATTAAAGGAAATCAATAGAAACTTATCAGAAACCCCTCTTTAAGATCGGGTGTGTCGAGACTGAGAAACCGCCTTGTTTCTCTTCTAAATTGCAGTGTAACATCTACGCGAAGGAATGTACGAAATATGTGCACGTGAGGTCATCTGCGGCTTACAATTGGAATTCTTTGATATGTAACTGCTTCCGTTTTGGTTTTCGCGCCTAAAACTAGCGATTTCGGTGGTAACGTTCGTGCAACATGCCACGTTGCAAAACTGTGAAAAATCTTAACCTCCGTTTTAGGACATATCCTGCCGTCTAATTGTTACGAAAAGTAGAACTCAGGATTTCTACTTAATGCACTGTTTTTTGTCCTAATATTTTTTTGGATAACGAGCTACACTTTTTCTTCTAGCTTGAGGAACTTATCCTAGAACTTATCCTTGCCACAGATATCAGATCTCCAATTAGTTTATCTTTTTTGAAAGGACAGATGTCCGGCTAAGTCACCATTTTGGTCAGAAGAAACAAAATGTGTCGAACTCAATCAACGGATTACGCGTCTTTAACTAAAACTGTGAATGAAAGCCTTGAGTAGATTATTTTATTGATCCGCAAAATAGAGAAGAGAAGTGATGACGTCACAAAAACTAAATTTTAGAACGGAATTATGGGATAGGTCGGCATATCCAGAAAGAACAAGATGAGAAATGTTCACTTGCCAAAAATCAACCTATGCTCCAATGACTGCATATAAATCCTTCTAAAATAGGCCTGGATCGTAAACTTTTCGATCCAAGCCAATTTTAGAAGGATTTGTATGAAGTCAACAGAGCATAAAGGTGCTTATATCTCCCCGCCAATTTGCACAAGAAGGTTGATTTTTGGCAAGGGTTTTTGTTTTCATCTTGTTCTTTCTAAATATGCTATCCAATCTCATAATTTCACAAATTTGAATTTTTGTGACGTCACACTTCCCTTCTCTATGGTAGTCTTTGATATTTGAGGCATGGGCCAGTTTTAGTTAGATATTGTCCGATGACGGACACCGACTTTTATTTGTAGCCCTGTGTACAGTTGTAAGAGGAAAGCACTAAAAGATAAATCCTCCCCAAGGAAACTACATTATGGAACATGTATGCAAATCAAAATGGGAGAGGGGACCTTGTGGTCGCGTGAAGGACTTATTTTGGGAGGTCACAAACAGATATCCTTTAATAGTTTTTAACTCGAGACTTGAAAACGGCAGGGCAAGCCTTCCTCTTAGATGCAGCTCCGAAACGTCTTTTAAGAGTTAGAACACCCTCAAAATGTGAAACCTAGAGCAAATTTATAAGGCGGAATTGAGTTACATTAATCGCGAAAAAGTGGCAAGTGTGAGATATTTGGCTATGCTTTTGCGTGACTACCTTGTTCATTTTCGCGCGAACGATTTTCAAGCACACGATAAATGAGATACTTGCTCCTCTTTCTGAAGGGCTTATCTTTACTTTTTAAAGGTTTATCTCGCCTTTGCTAATGTTCCGTTGGATGTTCGTTCTTCTTCTGTCATCGATGCCCTGGTCGTGGTTCATTGGTCTGCGTAAATTAAGGATGACCCGTCTCGAGGCGACGTTAGCAGCCCTCTTTGTGCATTCAATTCACAGCTGGCGTAAGTTTGGTTTGGAGTTAGAAGCATTTCACGAGTATGGTCTGTTTACTCAAGCTTACGGAATGGCCATACTTCCTCTCGCAGGTAATCTTTTAATCTCTTTGATCTTTCGGTGAGTATTGAGGGTACAGTCAACTCTCTCCAAGGCGAACACCGACCGGCACAAAGTGGCCGTCTTACCCACCTAACCCTCTCTTAACCTAACGTTAAAACTCACGTCTAACTTTGGACAAAAGTTTGGATTAGGGGAGGGGTAGATGGGCGCAGAATCCCACAATCTCATACTAAGACAGCACGGACCAACTCTAGGTGTCTGTTAAGAGAGAGTTGACAGTAGTAGGCCCTCCCTTCCCCCAAATCAAGAAAATAAAAAATGGCGCTTCTCGGCCTTCGCACTGATCGTCATCCTTCTCGCCGCTGTTGCACATTAGACTGGTGCGCAAATTGAGAACACCCCTCTTCCAAAAATCAAGGGTGGGAACATGGCTTTTTTGCCTTCGTGCGGCTTCTTCCTACTTGCCGATTGTGCACGCTAGAACCGTGCGCAAAGTTAGATCTTCCCTTAAAATATGTTGTCATGTTGTGTTCTGTAGACGACTAGACTACGCTGTCAAGTAACAACTGTATTATGCGCTGCATGTACCCCACCTTAACTGTTAAGGGCGAGAAAAAAGCGCGGCGAGAAAACGAGCTAGTTTGAGCTTTTAATTGTGAATGGTTGAGGAAGTGGCGCGAAATATTTTAGCCAATAATAACGCTTAGGATCTATCCAATCACAAGACGTAGAAAAAAGGATAAACGTATTGTATTATAGAGCTAATTACTGATTTAAAAGTGTGCAAATAGTAGGTAACGGCTTGCTGTAGTTCTCTTTTGATTGCTTGGCTGAGTTACAGGTTTTTACCTTGTTTCTTTACTACTTACAAAAAGTTTCCGGAAAATCCGGTTAGAAAGTAAATGGAACATGACTGTTCGGGACGTTTCGTTGTAAAACTTCCGGGAGCAACGGAACGTCTGAAATGGTAGTCCTGTTTTCCCGGTCGGAATGTTCCAAACGGAAATTCGTGTTCCGTTTCTTCAAAGCCCGTCTTTGATACCAGTTTCAGCCTTTCGCGGCCGTTTTTCGGTAAATGTAACTGATTAGTGCAAATGGCGAACACAATTCGGGGACAAAATATACCAGTCTTGAATTTTGATCAACATTTGCCCAAACCGTGAACCGACCGTCACGCAGTTTGCCCATGTAAATGGTAAACAACCATTGAGTATCGTTGCAAAACACAGAGTAAACAGAGGAAATATATAAATATCGCAGGCCACCTTCCTATTTGCAGCTTTAAAACGCTCCAAGTCTTGAAAATGTGAGACTTAGCAAAAGTCTTTTGGGCAAATGTGAGGTATTTGGCTTAAGTTTTGGAAGACCCATGTTTGAAAAGGTAAGGAGAGCACCTTATCCGAGATGGGGGTTCTAATTCCTACAGAAGTAGTGGGGGGAAGTTGATAAAATATCAAGCAAATTTATCTTGTGTGATCATGTCCGTAATTCTCATGACAGTCTGTTTTACAAAGCATTGATATTACGAGGAGAAATTTTATGCTGATCACTCCTAGGGCTTAAAGGGTTAAATTGGGTATCGTGGAGTATTATGAGTAGTAAACAAAGGAAATAAATATACTTAACTTGTAACCATTGGTATATTTATTGGGTGTCTTTCGTCTTCCCGCATCTGATATGTGCATTTACATCCTTATATGCAGCAGGTTTTTTCCCATGGCTCGGCGCAGTTGTCTCGGTACTGTTTTTCCCTGGAAAACATTAATTCTTAACATTATTTTCCTACTGTTTGTTTCTCTTTAGTTGGATTTTTATATCAATATGTACTCTACAACAGTGGTTCAAGAAACGGTACAATCCTTCTCATCGTCTTCAACTTCACCGCGAATGCATTCTTTGGTATCTACCTTGGCATTGTTACTGGAGTTACTCTGCTAATAGACATGCTTTCAAACACTAAACCACTTAGAGGAAGGCTCTTCTCGCCTTCAATCTGGCGAGCTTTTTACGTGCATTTTCTAAGCGTCGCATTGCTCTCTTGGTGGGTAATTCCGTTACTTAATAACTTTGACTACATGGGCGGGCTTCCGTGGAAGAGTGAAAACGAGCATGGCCACAGTTTTGAGTTTGTCCTCAGAAGTCTTTTGTCGGGCGATTTGTTTGACCACGAAAGGAAAATTCCATTCATCACATTGGGATTTTTTGCTGGGCTTGGCTGTGTTTGTTCCACGCAACTTAAAGACATTGGTCACCTCACAAAACGGCAAACACTTTTGATTTGGCTTGTGTTATTATTTTCTGTCACCTTCTTTTTGTTTCTTGGCAGAACATTTTCTGGGCCGTTATACAACTTGATTCCTTTTCACAAAGAGCTCGAAGTTTTTCGCTACATAATTGGACTCCAATTTTGCGGATTATTGCTCATGGCCGTGACATTAGCTCGCATTCTTTACTTTCTTTGCGTGTCTTTGTGCAGAATGTCAAAGGCATATTTTCAAAGCAAAAATGTCTTGATTGTTCTTATGTTAGTATTTCCGCCTATTTATCTCAGTTCTCAGCTTCAATATATCAATGCACGTTTCTCCGTGATTGAGATAGAAGGGTTCTCTGACGGACTGGAGAAACTGAAGGCTTACCCGAAAAACGGACGCTTGCTTGGATCGAAATTTTTAGGTGAGTTCACTTTCTTGGCAAGTTGTTTCGCAAAGAGAATCTCTTTTAAGAGGTTCCAAAAAACTGGACGCGTGATACATTTGCAGCTTCACGCGAAGGAAAGGCGCCGTGAAATTCTAGTTATGGAAATGGCACCTTAATGCGCGGCCTCGACTTGGGTGCAATTTGTCTTCACCACTCTCATATTCCTTCTGGACGTTAATTTTTTTTCTACTGAAACATATTTTAATAGGCGAAGTTCGCTTTTAGTGACAAAACTCATCGAGAGGGCCCACGTCGAAAATATTATTTATTAAAAAAATACATTAAATAGTGGTTGTCAAAAAGGGCAGTAAAAAAAGAAGATAAAAGGAATGCAAACGGGTGTAACGCACGTTTTTCTGTGAAATCTTATCGATTCAGATATAAAAGACTGGACATGAAGAGATAAAATGATTGTCAATAAGAGATACTTCATCAGTGACATCTATCCCGACTTACCAACGTTTCACGACTGAATAAAACAGCCTGCAGTCTACAGAATCAGGGTATATTGGCATTTTACTACTGCTAGAGTGATTGTTTGAAAACAAATCGGCGTCAATATTTCTCTTTTTTACCTATGCTTATTTACTGTGTACACAGAGGGTCAACTTAACTTATCACAGCTAAAGACAAATGTATGTAGCCACGGCGAGGTGTGCGAAAAAATGTGCATGTATATAAGTCACATGCGGTAAAATAGTGACTGGTGCCACTGGCATCCAAAGCGCAAAGCGGCAAGTAGGAAAGGGTAGCACTTCGCCCAGTAGCCAGTCAGCGTTAAGTATTTGCAACTCGAGACCGATTACATTCAATCAGCGCTTAAGAACATTTTAGTACCGTCAGTGACTTATACTACATTAATTACTCTGGCGTCACCGACATTTTCTCGCACACTCATTGGGCAAAATCTTTCACGTGCTCCAAATACTCAATGCTGATTGGCTACTGGGCGAAGTGGCCCCTTTTCTTCTCAGGCAGACAAGAGCCACCTTCACGCCAGGAAGTTTTCCAAGACAAACGAGACTTGTTCGTGTAAATTTAAAAGCTTCAAAATGGGGTTAAACGCTTTACTCTCTTTGTTTGTTTGTTCTTTACAGGGTTAAGTGGCGCTTGGGACTTGTCTCTTATACCCCACCTCAGCAAAAAGCCTGGTAAAGTCGAAGAATTGTTATTTCTTTTACAGTAATGTGTGTAAACGCATTTATCGTCCGATCGTGAATTTTTTGTTTGTTGTAGCTTGAATTTGATAAGTCTTTGAATAAAGGCTGCTGAAGATTTCTCTCTTTAGCTGATCATTACTGCGGCTGTACAAGGTGTTTCTAACTTATCATTCAGCGAATAAATTTCTGAACGGTCTAGGCGAATCTTTGCAGACGTCATTGTTTACATTTTTGCTCATTAACATACGTATTAACCCATAGAAAGCGTGACCGTATGCACAGATTTAATTCAAAAGTTGAAAGAGTTAATTTGAGCAGTTTCTGCAATTTTCAACCTTTTGCAAGCAATAACAAAGGAAGTAACAGCAATCGAAAACTGCGAAATTGCCGGGTGGCAAAAACGTTAATGAGCCCATACATTGTTTTTATTTTCGAGGTTTTCAAAGATAAGTTCTCCAAGAGTTCTTTCAATATTCAGAGAGTTTGTTTTAATAGCTTGATCAGAGAATGAAGGGCATGATATGTTAATAAGTCAAAAAACAAAGATTCGCCTATAACAATGTATAACCGCAGTTCAAAAAAAAAATTATTTTATATATTTCACATCAATGTATAATGAGGCTCTTTAACTGTGAGTCTTTGGTTGAAAACCTGTAGTCTGAGAGCTGTTTTTTCAAGCATTTTATTACACAAGGTGATTTTATTTTTTATTCTGGAGTTGAAATCTTGCAAATCAAAACTACGCAGTAGCAATTCGATGCATATTAGTGATGATGGTTATTCCCTTCTCAACAAAACAAACTTCTGATGACAAAACACGCTACGCTACGCTACACATCCGGAGCTTAAACTCAGCTTGTTATATGGCTAGTTACGCCAGCTGGCAACATGAAGCGAATTCTGCCTCCTGATTGGTTATCCGAACGGGAACGATGAGCCTATCTTGCCCACACGGGATCTTCCACTTCAAATGCGCAGGAAAAACGTACTCCTGGGCATAAAATATATCCATATCCATATAATATATCTTATATGTTCGGAACTATGGGGAACTATGTTCGTCTCGATAGTTTGGGTTCGGTCGAAAGTTCGAGGACATTCAGCAGCAGGGGGAGTTTTTTCTTACACTGAAATTTTCAGGAGCAGTAAACGAAATATCTTGATAAAATGTCAAAAACACAACCTCCGAAAATCGTAGGTAAGTTACTATAAATTAAAAAGCTCCGAAAAAATTAGAAGAGCGGAACTGTTATCCAGACTTTATTAGGCAGCCTTTCTCGATCTTTAATAATTTCTCGGCAATATTTGCTCCTTGGAACGGTTATTTTATAGAAAAAATTCATTGGGTGCCCCTGACTCATATTTGTGGCATAAACTTTCTTTTTTTTTTCAAAGTCAATTGTCGTATTGCACGTCTATGCAACGCCCGCAATGTACACAGTTGTTAAAAGTACGGCCATTTTAGGAATTGAACTCCTCAGGAGACCTTCAGAGACTCGTAACAACTGTGCCCAATGTATTTTTGGCATAGTAGAAAGCCTAGTTTACCTATTTCATAGGCAGATTTAGGGGTGGTGACCCGAAGGGGGTCGCGGCCGCCATTTTCTTTAGAATTTTGTATTATTTTTTTAAAAATATTCTCAGGAAAATAAATATTACCTACATACATGTAGCTGGCAATTGTTCCGACCCACCCTCTCTTTTTGGGTGTATAACCCTGCATCTTGTCAGTGTCTTGTCAGGCTTCACATTCGTTCGTGTGGATTTACATCTAAAGGTACCGAAGGGAAAAAGGCATTTTAGTCCAGCATATTTAAGAGCATATTAAACTCCTCCAGTTTAGCATAATTTTGGGCGTATCAGTACCTTCGTCAGTGATCCCGAAAAACATAATAATCGAGTTTTCGATCATAAGCCGTAAGACCCCTTCGTTGAGTTTTGATATTTCAATCAGTTTTAACCGCGAAATTTCTTGTGACTCTCGATATCTAGGTCCAACTTAATTCCCAGAATCTAAAGTCTGTCCAAATATATTTCCGGGACGTTTTTCTTTATTGTCTCGTACTGAATTTCTGGGTGTAGGCACTAACTACGATGAGTATTTGGGGATATTATCGATTCATTAAGCCTTTCACTTCCAATATTCTCCCAGAATGAATGATGGCGTCCTGCAATGTGGTTTTAAGTTTTGAGTCTGTAGACAAAATTGAATGGTGTGACCATTCCCTGAAACCTCTTCAGCCATAGTTCTATTTGTTTTTCATCACTTTACAAAAACGAAATTTTGACTAAAACAGTCGTTCTTTAAAACTCTCTTGCTACCAACCGACAGTTGTCTATTGCCATTTGTTTTTAGGGGTTGTGACCTATTCAAGAGGCTATCACGATACCTTGTCTCTGTACTACCTGGAAGAGATGAATCCATCCCTGGACTCCACACCCTGGCTCCCAGATCTCTTGCGTCTTTACAACATCCGCTTCGTCGCTACGTCTGGGATCGAAGTTCCTGGACATTTCTTGCGTTACTGTGAGCTGAGGTACCTGGCCACGATAGGTGCGATGGAGGTCTTCGTAAGAGAGCCCCAAGAGGATTATGGATATTTTGACTTTACATATGTTCTGGGCGTTGTTTCAGGAGACCTGAAAGGCATGCGATGGGCTGTATTAAAAACCACTCAGCTCTTTACCAATAGGATACTATTTGCCATAAATCCATCTTCGGAACTTGCGCACAAGGCTTTGTTCAAAATTGTAATTTCAAATCACAACGCAAACGCTAGTGTCATTCACAGGTTAACATCCTTTGAACAGTTTGAAACAACATGGTATGTTAATGGCAGAAAGGCTTCCGAAGAAAGATTCTTTGCAGATGTGAAATTCGGTCGCAATCCACCACTGCTAATGTCAAGAGTTCTTTCCGAGAAAGCGGAGCGAAATTTGTACTCTGCTCAAGTTGAAGTGGTCGAGGAGACTTGGAACCAAGTATGCCATCATTTTTTATCCTCCATTATGTAATGCTTTTGGCCAGGGGGTGGGAGTGGGGTAGGAATTTTTTGTCCTCCTTCAAGCCAGTGTAACCATCGTTATGAAAACTAACCCTTAAAAACCCTTTTTCTGTACTGGTAAGTGTTTTTAGAAGGAAATCCTCAGTCCAACCCATAACCATTTAATAGACCATTTTTGACAAAAGGTATCCTTCTTGTTTACCTTCCTTTGGAAAATGCTACCCTTTTCACACAATCACATTTCTACTAACAGGAAGTCTTCTTCTTATCATTTTCATGATAATGATTTTACAAGTTCTTTTAGATACCTAAATGACAAATTCCCCTACCCCTTCATATACCTGAATCCTTAAAAACGTACCCCTTTTTGGGCGAAGTCTCTCTAGTCCAGGCTATAATCAGGGCGTATTATAGATGGTATCTGCCTGGGTTTTAACGTTTCACTGTCTGGTTTAAATCCATTCATCTCACTATCCATACAAAAGGTACTTAGCAATCTCCTTTCTATTCAGCACAAGGTTTCCTTAACTTTTCTTCTTTGGGAAAACTTTTGCGTGTATGTTAGGAATTTCATTTGCCCCCATATGGTGAGTTCTATTTAAACTATGGGTACAAGGAAAACTTTTCACACTTTATTCAGGTCCCGGTTGTTCAAAAGTTGGATAGCGCTATCCACCGGATAAATCGCTGTCCAGAGGATAAGGATACTACCAATTGCGCTATCTATTGGATAGTAATTTATCCAGTGAATAGTACTATCCACCTTTCGAACAACTGGCGCCTGGGCTTTAGATGATCGACCACTACATGTAAGCCGATGTCAAATGTTAGGTAATCAGTTTGGCGAGTAAGCGTATGGCCACCTGCGTCTTATCAAGCAAACACAACTAAAGAGTCAAAATGGAAAATGTTTCTGTGTCCGTGTTGTCTGAAGTATTAAGCTTAGATTAATTGTCATGCCCACAAATTTGGAATATAGAGAAAGAGAAAGACGGAGAAAAACAGAAGGTAGGGCGACAGACTAGCGAAGCTCAACGAGGGAAAGAGCTGAGAGAGAAAAAGCAAAGGAAACATTCTTTGTTGGAGGAACAACAAGAAATTTTGTAGCGGCGGTGAGAGAATGAGAAACGCTTGCTTCCACCAGGGTGAAATGAGCGACGTGAGAAACAAACAAGAACACGTACAACATTTCCTCCATGTAACGGGAAACCAGGAAGTTTCTGAAAGTTTCACATTGTAGTCGTGCAAAACAATGGCAAAAAAATGTACAAAAACGTGCGCTGCACGTGCAAATTGTTTCCTTGCAAATTAGACCTATTGCTGTTTTTTTTCACCGTTTTCGTTCCCTTGTTTGAGCAAAATATAAATATTATCGAGAGCTTCGCTTTTAGCCCTGGCTAAATCTGTATAACAAAAGTTATCACAAATTCATTGATATAAGTCTATTTAAAAAATATTAAAAGCCCTAGGCTTGGGTGAAAACTATTCTATACAATGCTTAAAAATAATAATAAAACTTGTCTACTTAATTTTTCCAATCACATTTGCAATTTTTGCCTCGCTAAAATCTATGAGGCTCAGCAATGAATAATACATTTCTTTTGTTTTATTCCCTCAAGCGTCGTAGCCAAGTATGAATTGTAATATATCGAAATTGGTCCATTTCATCCATGCTCGCCATATTTTGTTGTTGCTGTGTCATTCAACCCTTTTCTCAATATATTTAAACCTTCGCTCAACTTGGTGGCCAGTTCTCGATGTCTGAATTTGCCTAAATTTCGTCACACAGCCTTTTAAAGTCTCATTAAGTGCTTTCCATTAACAGTAAAAAGTGAGAGTTCTCAGTCTTGAAATGTTGTACTTCAAGCAAAACTCAACCTGACACGGTAACCACGTTGCTAACTTAATCCTATTTTGTTTTAGAACTTGTACAGAACCGAACACCTCCTCATAAAAGTCACTTACCATCCTTATTGGAGATGCTCCTTCCGTTCAACACCTGATGACTCACGTGACCAGTCACGTGGATGGCACCCTCTTACGATACACCACGTGACGCCGAACCTGATGAGCGTAGCGCTGCCTCCCGGAAAGCATGAGGTCATTTGCGAGTATAAAAATCCTTTTTATCAGAAAGTCGGTTTGGGGTTCTTTATTGTGTTTGTTCTTGCCATGATTACGAGGGAAATATGCACATTTTTGAAATCTGTATAGCATAGATTTGACTGCTTTGTCTTGTTTTGTTGCGGTTACGTTTTTATGACTGGCGGATTTATTATCTGTTGTAAAGTGACCTTTAGATGTAGCTAGTTAATAAGGGCTATTAGTAATGGTTCGAAATGGTAATAGGATTGAGTAAAGTACTATTCAGGAAATAATCAGGCTAGTAATTTAAAATCGGCCGAGCGCGTAACGCGAGGACAATTCGAAATTACTCAGGCCCCAGTTGTTCAAAAGGTGGATAACGCTATCCACCGGAAAAATCAGATCACCCCTGAATTGTGCGACACGAAGACCTATTATCAATTAATTGACCATACAGAAAATACCATAACATACCATAATATTCTTTGCTGGTCACTCCAAAATTTTGCATAAGCATTGTTTTCAGTTTCTCTTAGGGCCATGCTTATGCAAAATTTTGGAGTGACCAGCAAAGAATATTATGGTATGTTATGGTATTTTCTCTAGTGTTGAATTGTATCAATTACAAAGTACGAGAATCTCAGGATTGGAATACTTATTGAAGTACAAACTTCTCATTACATCAGCTTACACCTTCCAAAGCAAAAACATGGCTTAAAATTTTGGAATATGGAGCTCAAAATGCATGAACTATTTTCAATACATTTTTTTAAAAAAATCTGATGTGTCAAAATGATGCTGGCAAAATTGTCCACTGAAGTTTTTTCGTTGGCTTTGATTTGCTAGCATGGACTAATTTGTTAATTCTTATTGGCTGGCAACATTTGATGCTCGATTTTCATTGGCTCTTCAGCTGTCCGATTTGATCACAAGCATCTAATCGAAAAGCTAAAATTGGACAGTTCTGGTGCTGTCTCAGTCAAATTAAGCAATCGGTAAGGGATACTGAGAACCAATCAGATTCACGAATTTTGTTATTGACACAATTAAGTGAGAAATAATATAGGTTGTTAAAATTCTAACATGACTCTAGGAGGCTTTCTAATCATTTTTCTATATTTGGTTTGGTTTTCCTTGAGCTCAATTCTCCGCTGGGAATTGCGAGACAATGGAGTCGTGAAAAATTTGCAATTTTGACCCTAAAGCCTTGGAATCACGTTAGAATTTTAAATTGAAAACATAAAAAAAAAACATAAACATGAACTTTATTTATACTCGAATTTCAGAGCAGCCTGAAAGGCTAATATCTTCGAGAAAAAAAAAAGAAAAGAGTAATCTATTTACATACAGAAAATAAATCTATTTAAATACATAAAAATGTATTTACATATATGAAAAATGTTAAATATACTGTTACGTCTGAAAGGAGACTGCTTTCAGGAGTCTTCTAAAACCAGATAATGTAGGCTCAGATCTTACATTAGGTAGGGAGTTCCATTTCTTAGATGCAAAGTAACGAAAAGAGTTGAGGCCGTAAGTAGTAGTAGCAGGTTTACATAGTGATAGAATATTATTTCTTCTAGAAGAGTACAAAGGCTGACGCAAAGTAAGCATGTCTTTAAGATATTTAGGAAAACGTTCATATTGCAAACATTTGTAGATAGTGATTTGCATATTTTGTATCCTTTGGTTGTATAGAGTTGCTCCTCCTGAATTATGTAGTAGCTGCTGGTAGGACGAAATTTATCATTAAAAACAATACGTAGCGCGCGCTTATTAAGAGATTCAAATTTTTCACAGTTTCTAGCAGTACTGCCCCGTCGCGTTTTGCTCTAGCATTTCTTCTCGCGACTCCCCCAAATGGAGAGCTTTCTCGCAAGCAAACAAATTACTTACCAACTGATTCTTTAACGAACAGTGGATTTTGCTTCAAATCAATGTTTTCTGTTGCCTCTGCCTTGGAAAAAATTGAGACTTTTGGGAAACAAATTAACTGTCTGATAATCAGTCACATTTCATTGTAGACAGCGTTATGATCCACCTTCGAGCAACCAAAGGAAAGAAAATATTTAAACGTTAAAAAACTTCCTAGAAATGCATGCAAGCATTAACGTAACATTAACGTTCGGAAAATTCTTCCAGAAATGCATGATTTAACTATGACGTTAGGAAACTTCCTATAAAATGTCGGTGAGCTAAAATATGAACGACGTTAGGAAACATTAGAGACCTTAAGATCTAAAGACACGACGGCAAAGAGAACGTTACTTAAAAAGTGAATTTGTGTTCTTTCAGTCTCTATCGCGATTATCCCTACTTGACTTTGTCAAATGTACCGAAAAACCTCCTGAAATTGAATTCAAAGGGACCATATTCAAGTTCAGAAAGAGAAATAAAACTTCGTCGTTGCCTGTTTACGTTCTCCATAAAACGCGAATTAGGCATTTCCACGTCGCAGTCGTGCAAAAACTGCAGTTATGAACATAAAAGTGTGATGCACGTGCGAAGTTTGTTTTTGCTAATTAAACCTATTGTTTTTTTTGAAGTTCTCGTTGCCGTCGAGTTGTTTGATCTTGAAGTCCCTTTTATCCAAGAAACGTACACAAAGGAGGTGTTAACAACGACTTTAGATACTCCTATGGACGAAATCGAGGAACCACTTATGTTTCTGATTGAACTCCTCAACAAATTTTCTAACTTTTCGTTTTTCTCCTGCTTGATTATTTCAGTCCTGGACATATCTCCAACTTGATAGCTTGCGTAGCTGGTGAGATTCGTACGCGCGGGGGTACTTTCTTGGCGGCGCGCGCCGCAAGTTTGACGTGTTTTCAATCTTTTCGCGGCTCCGCTTACAAAACAATACAGCACTTGCAAGCTAATCTACACTTGCTGCATAATCTCGCCAGCTACGCGGGCTACAACCTGACGAGGCTGATAGTTCACCATCATGTGAATATAACAGGACATTGATCATGACAAGACGTGTCCGTGATCGTAGTTTATTAACTAATCAAACGAATGTGACTTTTCTTGAGAAACTGACCCTGACTTGAGAAGTAATTAAGAGAAGGTTATTCAAAGTGTAATAAAGGCATTTAATAAAGAAAATGAACTTGTTTATTGTTAAAAAAATAACTTATGATGGTGCTAAGAACTCTTGCTGTACAAGTGTACAACGGATCGGCCTAAATGCACCGTGAAAAGTCTCTTAAAAGTGATAAAGAGCTTTCAATAGCCTGCGTAGCAGGCGCTTGGAAGTAGTGGGCACAAGAAAAAACGGGCGCACGAGAAGGAGACACGCGTGTCTCCCTCGCGAGCGCCCGTTCTCTCTTTCGCCCACTTCTTCCAAGCGCCTGCTACGCAGGCTAAGCTTTCATACCTGCTACATACAAGCCACGCAAAACCGTGCAAAAGGCGCATTATATACCAAGACGGGATGAACTCTCTTATGTAGGCTTAGTGCTTGTTTGTGCCATAAACCTGGCAAAGGAAAAAACTGATAACTTTCACTTAGCCATTTGCAGGAGGAGGTCATTTAACTACAACTATGTTCTTCAGGGTTTACTGTCTTGTTCAAATTATGTGTTATTATTCAGACACTCGAGCTAACTTAAGATATGAAAGGGAAAACGAAAGAATAATATATATTCTTTCTTGCTGTGACGTAATTTAAAGAAAAGCGCAAGACTCAGTGGGAAATTTTTCTCTCAAACTCACATTATGTTGCCCTCCATGGCACACACCTTAGTCCGAACAAAAGTCAAACAAACATATGAGAATATTACGTGACTACATACAACGCGTTAGAATTCAAGTATAAAGAATTTTTACAGCACGTCTACTGAGTATGGAAGTAGTCTAGTAGTCTCTTGTAAGACTGTTGATGGCGAATGACAGTTCAAGCTTCACAGACGTTAGTCAGTCCTAGTTGCGTAAAATCTTAACGCCGGACGTAACAACCAACGTTAGCAGCTCAGTCGAACCCTGTTTTTCACGCCAGACAACAGTAGTTACGCCAGACGTAGGGTCTTATGGCGACTGGCTCCATGAGCGTTCAATAACGTGAAGGGCGACATACACAAATTTTTAAATGGAACTATAAACTCATCACAGAGTTTCGATATTGTACACAATTATTTTAAAATCAGACACTGATAAATGCCTTTTCAGAGAAATTTGAGAAATGTTTCAAAGAGGGTAGATGAAAGGCCTGGACGTCACTGCTTAAAATTGCTCGGTGCCAGCTTCCAAGAGTTGGACGCGTCTCCTATATCCAACACTATGGCAACACCAGCTAGAGCCCAGTGATCCGCGGTCTTGGAACATTTCATCGGTAAAGTGAACGAACAAAACTGTCGAGCCTGTGAAATGACCAAGAAAATATCACAAATACGATTTGATTCGGTTCTAATTACATACTTGACAATCACCAACTGTTAAGCTTGACACTGAAGAAACTGCGTCCACCTACACCAGTTCAAACCACACGACATAATAAACCAGACACAAACAACTAGAGCTACCATTAACGGCATATACACAGCAGTAAAGGGATAACTCCTCAGAAAAGTTCCCTTCGAACCACGGTGGAAAAGGCCGGCACATCTCTAACTTGAAGTATCTTAAACCGAGAGCCCATTACTGCCGCCCTTCATATCACTTTTTTCCTTGTACACCAACAACATTAAAAGGGAAGTCCATTTAGTAGAAAAGGAAGTAAAAAAAATCCAGCTTCTGTCAAGCTCAAAACAGCGATTTGGAGCCTTAAGTCTAGATATCAGGGTAGATAGAGCCACTAGGGACACGTCTGGAAAATGTTGGTGGGGATGTTCCACTGGGACATAGGAACCCCTAACAGATCTACCGTCACCGTAACACTCTATAGTTTAAGTGAATACTCCATCAGTCTAAAAGTTAAGGATGTGTTCACGTCAGCTGGTTTTCTCAACATTTTTACAAGACATGCTGCCTTTTTACAGCACACACATTCAAAATAACCTGATTTGGCGAAGCAGAAAGAGATGAAACATCTAATCAGGAATAGGAAAGTTTTACCGCATTTTATATCCCAGTGTACAGCCTTGGAAACCAATCGCAGAACTAAAAGGTAAAAACGAAAACGGGGCCCCCATACTAGTACAGGACCAACTAGAGGAAAACTTCAAAACTCACTCTATTTATAAATACAGGACAGCGGTAAACTTCCAAATCGTCTGCCTCGTTCCTGTCCTCGGGCCTAGGCTCCTCCTCTTCAGGGATGACGGCAGACACAAAAAGGTCTGGTAACTGTGATAAGGCCGACCTGATTAAGAGAAAGAAAGAACGGATCAATTCCACCTACCCCTCTAATGTTGACTTAGGGGTGGGGTAGGTGGTCTGTTTGCCAGAAACCTCGATTGATCCACAAGGACTATAGTTTGACCAACGACAAAAGCCAAGAGTGAACTAATCACTTGCCATCATTTTTCGACAACCTACGGGGAAGATTCATAGGGAGCTTGAAGCGACGCACGTCAACCGGAAGTAGACTTTTTTCATTTTCAAATAATCGATTCATTTATTGGGGGTACGCTTGACCTGGCCTGACTGTGAGTCTTGAAAACCCTCTTAGAAGTTTTATTTCGAGATGGCCTTTGAATGTTATCAGAATATAAGGGAGCTAAAGCAAAGACGCTTTTGAGCGACGCACGTCAACCGGAAGTGAGGGCATTTTCCTTCCGCCTTAAATAATGAAACAGTCGTTGCCACAACCACCATAAATTCAAATCTGCATTCCTGCATATGCAATCAGAAGTGAATTTTTTACGATACTCTTAGGCTGTATTCGGCCAGATTGAAAACTTTTTGAATAGACCATTTTCGAGATATTGAAATTCATACTTGGCTCCGAGGCTTGCGAGAATGAAACAGAAGAAATGTATTATTAGTTGCTGAGCCTCAAGATGACTTCTTTTGTTTTACTCCCCCAAGCCTGGGAGCCATGTATGAATTTTAATCTATAGAAAATCGTATATTGATAAAACTACTTTGAAGATTTACACGAAATTCAAGAAAACTGAGCAGGTAGAAATTTCATGATTACCTCGCGTGTGAAGTCGATGCTCATTACGTATGAAGGAATGCAGAGATGAACCTGAAATGTACAACTACCAATGCAGGGATAATCTGATTCAACTTTAGAATAATAAATTTATTAATAAAATCTTGGGGGGAGGGGGGGGGGTACGCTTGACCTGGCTCGACTGTAACAACGGTTCAAAATAAGAGAATAGAGAGAGTAAAATTCACGTGTACGCCCAAACGGCAAACGTGAATTTGTTCCTCGTGACCAAGTTTTCCCCTTAGATGTCGTTTACTATTTGTTACTTCCACTCAAAATTAATATTCTCACGCTAGTTTTATCCACAAGAATTGTTCTGGACAGCTTTTATCTATTTTTTTCTATTTTGAGGAGTTCTCAACTTGAATCTGACGTTTACCGTTTGCCTCGAACGTGACTCTTAATCTCCCTAATATGCGTAATTAGCTCATTATACTCACGTTGGTTCCACAAGGTACTCTTTACCCAGATCCATAGACGCACCCTCTAAATACAGCCCGCTTATCAACAGGCCTTGCTCGGAATCGCTAACATTCTCATCACGTGATAAGTACGATTTTGCCAGAGAACAGCGGAGTTCAACCTGAAGTCATTCGTATAGAATAGTAAAACGAAGTTGCATCAATCGTTGGTATCGAGGAACGCACCGTGCCTAGATTGTCGAAAAGGAGAACTAATTTACTGAGGTTCTCCAACTCTTGGCAGGGTCACCGCAAGAGCGCGTAGCGCCAATAACTGCGGGCCCGTAACAGTCGCTCCTCTCATGAGAGAGAGAGACCACCACACCGGAGACTACGTCTCCTACTCTCAACGAACAGTGAGTGGGTTCTTTAATGTCCCACAGAATTTATATGTGCAAGGGTTGCGAGACGGGGCGTACGGTTTATCATCCTTATCCGAGTAGACTAGAAAGTCTAACCGTTGGCATATGTCGTTACAAAGGCGACTTTTCAAGGGCCACATTAGATCTTCAAGGACCACCTACTAGGAATATAATTTCACAGTTTGTACAAAAATGCACATTCCCAGTCTATTCTAACAAGACTTTAAGGCTTGAACTACTTGCTTCACCAACTTCTCTACATTTTGCAGTTCAATTGTCTTAAATTGATAGTTAATTATTGCACAAAACATAGGGCGACTTACCTAAATAAAATTAAAATTCTCTAAGCTATGATTTATATTCTATCTTGGACAACCAAAAAGAATCAAAAAACATTTTCCAGGCACCTACATTCCACGCTGACGAAAATTCAAGGACTTTTCAAGACTGTGCAAACCCTGAGCCAGCACTTTCTCTTCAGTTATTTAAAGCCGCTCCCACCCTCCCCCCTCTTTCCCCTCGGCAGACCGGCGCTTATCCAATTGAGCGAACCGGACGGCAATAAAGCACACAGTACACAGAAACGTAGCACACTGGCGGGTAACCATCCCTGGAGAGGAAGTGTGACTCCTTGAACTGTAAGCGTTCGGACAACCAAATTTTTTTTCTGACACTGAATATCATTTGTAGGAGAAGCAAGAAGCAATTGCAGCGAATTGATGGGGAGCAAGTACGGGGTTCACGATTTTCGCGTGGAGTTGGTTAACCCTGTGCTATAGCCTGTATCAGCAGACGCTTGTTGATCCCACTGAACACCTTTAGTTAGTGTTTGTCGCGATTCTTATTTGATTGAGAGAAATCGCTAAACTCCTAATCTGTGGGTAGCCAAGGTAACGGATATTTCATTTCATGAAAGTGTTGGGAAGATCACTTAGCTTTCGGGCAAAACCTCCTTATATAGACCATAATATGGAGTATCCCTCAGGATTCGACGTTAATTAGGCCTAACAAGGCCCAACAAGGTATCCAGGCCAGCCACTTCTTAAGCTCACTGTAAATGATTGTTTTGCGCAGTTTACAATTCTTCCCGTCTATTGATAGACTTTGACGAGATACGTATGAATTTTAAAGATCTCATTGTTATCACACATCCCTTTGTTCCTTGACGAACTTTCTCGCAGTTAGTCATTCCGTGAGGTCTAAGGAAAAAACTCGACGGTTAAACTTGAACTCAGACCTCCTGATCGAGGTGTTTACCGCTCGGACAACAAGCCTCCACTTGACGCAACATCAAGTAAAGCAAAGCTATCCCTTAGCTAGCTCAATCTTCCGGCATATCAAAGTATGCACACAAATTATAAACGAAATACAATTTTTAACAATATTTTATAAGTTTGCTTCAATCCTACCTCGTCCACAGAACATCCCACCATGGCCGCTTTCTCGTGCCTGAGTGAGATCATCAGAGCTCCGGGATTGGACAGGCCACCAAGCCAGACAGAGGTCAGCTGACCCCGTCCTATTAGGGGTTCAGAACCCAGTCACTGAGCTGCTTGTGGCGCCGACTAAAATCTGTTTCAAAAAGACAACCACCGAATGTTTAAATCAACTGGTTCGGTAACACAATTCGGGGCAAAATGACCGGGTCTAATCGCTGACGGGACCAACGCTCAGGTCTTTAAATAACTGAGGAGAATGTGTTGCCTTCGGTTCACATTTACTTATCTTATCTCGGTTCACATCACATTTTAGTCTTTTTCTTTCACAGCACTTCTCTGATCTGACTTTCGTTGAATTGTAGTAGTTAATTTTTCATCTCAGGTAAATTTTATTTTTCTTTTATTTCAACCCCATTAGCATATATTAACATACCCAACAACAAAAGAAAAAGAAACATTACCTGAGATAAGGAATTAACTACAACACAACCACTGGGAACCTAACGATTCCCGGCCGTGAACGCCCACAGTGACTGTCTACCGTGGATTGTGGGAATGGATAGATGGGGAGGGTATTTCGCAAGGGATTAATGACTCGTTCGTTCGTGCCTCTTCCCATTGGGTAGGTCTGTACCCAATCAAGCTGATAAAATACAAAATAAAGTGGAACAATACCCAAGATTTAACCCCTTTGTTCTGCAAAACACCGCTGAACGATATCTTTTGCCATGGAGGAAACCTCATAAAACTATCATTCGTTGTATACCGCGCAGTACCTTACGGTTCGCTCGGCAGTGTTCTACTTCTTATCTACTCTGATTTCGAACACCATCGATCGTTACCTTTCAGCCAGGACGTTAATATGTGGGGGGAGGGCTGAGAATCCGGATGTAGCCAATCAGTGGGGACCATGTCACACTGGAGTGAGTCAACAACGGACGCAAGAGAGGGCGGAATTGCGGGTGAGCCGCCAAGGACGCAATGCTCCAGTACTTGTAATGAGTGACGGATGTAATAGAGTAGACAGTTGAACCACTGACATTCCTGAAATCAACGTAGACAGAAAAGAAATACAGTCGCCACGTTTTTAACGGACAACTCTCCAAGATGGATCCTTCCCAAAGATGGACACCGAAAGTTGATCCTGCCCATGATTTTTCAATCATTTTCTCTCAAGCCCTATTCACACCTAAGCTTAAACATGTTTAAAAGCCGTGTTTACGTAGACATGGTTTAAATTTGTTTTCTTTATAAAAGCTGCCTACTGTACTTTTCTTTACTGTAAATTTGTTGCAATTATGTTAGGTTTTAAAGTTCATTTATATTTTGTGTAGAGGCCTGTGTTCAGGTTTTCTGTTCCTGTTTTTCATTTTTTAAAATCTAGTTTAAGTAAACAAGTTTAGTTGCTGTGAATGGGGCATAACTCTACAAGACAGAAAACTCACAAACTTTGCCTTCTTGTACTGAAAGACTGAACAAGGCCAGGTATCAATCTAATCGTTACGACGACAACGTTGACGTCCCGGACGACAGAAATGGCAACCGGAGGTTGATATTTTCTCTCTTTCCGTGCTGTGACTCGACAAATTCGTACAGCAGGTGTTAAAACAAAGGCATTCAGATTCGTTGTATGGGACAGAAGGGTTACATCAAGCGAGACATCGAACTTCGGTCCGGGACGTCAGCGTTCTCGTTGCTAAAGCTCGATAAAGTGGTTAACACCTTTCTCATCAGCTCAGACTAAGGATTAACCTTAGAACAGCAGGAACTGATACCTTTTTGGAATTTAGGTTGGATGATTGTTTAAAACTTCTTCTCGTTGTTCTGATTTGAGCATTAATAGGTGACAGTTAGGACAGTACGCACCATCGCGCGGGCGCAATTGAATTTTTTCTTTCACTGCTAGCTAGAAACTCTCGGAATATTTTGTTTTAATTTTAAAAAAGCTTATCATAAAATATTACAAGTTTTGTTATAGTTACAATTCGGTCCGTAGTCACACTGGTGATTAAACAAATCGGACTCCCACAGTCATTCGTACGATTACAGACCGGATTGGACCGACTGCACTCAGTCCTATTACCATTATTAATATACATGTATGTACCTTTTGCAAGACATAACCCATGGTCTCGGAAATTCGTTCCTCCCCTCCAACAGAGCTACCAGTCTCGGAGTAAACCGACAAGGCACGCAGTTGAGAAAGCACACGTGGGAGAAGTTGAGTGACAGAAACAGCCTCGTCCTGTTCTATTTTTAGCAGTGTGGGAAGTTGTTCGATGCATAAGTCCATAGCTGCCCGCACGCGGGGCATATTGATCATGTTTTCCGGTGAAGGTTCTTGGATCAAAGCGGTTGTCTGGTTAATGTCGCGGTGAAGTTTATCAAGCTTGCGAATGAACTTCGAGGCACTGTAAAAGAAACACTGTGTCACTTAAACTTTACTTTTAATCTCTGCAACTTTCCTAGGTTTATGAGACACAGACAGACACGCATCGGGGTTTTGTAAGTTAAGGTTAGCAGCCTCTAAGTCGTGTACAATTTTTCTGAATTTTTCGACAAAAAGCCATCATTCATGATGTTTATAATTGTACTTTTTCGTGCGCCTAGGTTTCTGCAGCCTTTTTTAATGCTATGGCATCTTCATATGTAGCACCTTTAAATCTGGACGCCATTTTGGCAAAGAAATGCAGGAAACGTTGCCATAGCAATTTTGTAATTTCACATGAAAAAATCTTAACGCAGGAATTCTGCCCATTCCCTGCTAAGAGAGGCCTCTGTTCCCTTTTATTGGGCAGGCGGGAGGAAAAGAGGACAAGAGGCCTCTGATAGCAGGGAATTCTGCCTCAAAAATTAACGAGTTAATTATCACCCACAACACTAAAGAAGAAAACCTCCATCATCGCTGAAAATTTAACGCTGATCTTACAGTGTCTCGTTGTATTCTCGTTCTACACTAGCATTTCCACCAAACGGCGGTCCCAATGGTCCGTGATTTTCCCCCCATAAACTCCCCTTGAATTTAAAAGAATAAAACTTAAAGTCATTCGATTTTGTAGCGAATTTTCAATTTTTGTGCAGCGGTTCCCGTAAGTAGCATTAGGGAAAAAGGAGAAAATCGCCGAAAAATCGCGTCTACGGTCGAACAAGCTCGAAACAACGCGCCCGATCCCCGCCTGTTCGACTTATACGCGCAATTTGAAAAACTGCCCGTTTAATGGGTCTAAAAAAACCAGCCGCTTTCCCTTGAAAGAGGAAGTGTAGTCACTAAGCACCAGTAGTAATGATTTATGCCAAAAACAACGGGAAGTAAAGTAATCCATACCAGTCTCAGTATTTTCATCAGTTGCTCTGTTTCGCGAACTGATTTAAGACGCAAATGAATGAGCCCTAGAACGTATGTAAAGTAAGAAAAGGGGTTGCGGGTGGGTGGGTGGGTTAATTAGTTGCCCTTAGAAGAAGGGGTGCTCTGGTAACCAAGAACGCGCTTCCCCCGTAAGGTTGATTTGCCGCGAGCGAGGAGTTTCAAAAACAATCTTTTAGTGCCATTGTAAGCAAACAAACCACGCAAAAAGGTCAAGACTTCTAAGACATCTTCTAACAAAATTTACAAAGGTTCTTCCAACTTACCTTGGAAATCATCTCAGAGAGTGCTTCTAACTGTGAAGCACTCAGCCCATCTTGCCTCGTGGCCCAACCAATAACCATCCCAAATGCAGTTAACAAGTCACACGTGGACAGAGGGTAGCGACCACTGGATGCTCGCGTCCCCAGCTGACGGCGCATGAGCAGGATACGGTGGCTTACGCACAGGCCAAACAAAGTGGAACGAACAGCAAGGGACTGGTCACGAGCTTGTTTCCAATACGCTCTTGGAACGGCCTGTTTTACCCAAAAAACACAGTTTCTTAGTGTTGCCACTACACAAGACAAGAACATTTGACTATTTCTTTCTACTGAGTCTGTTTAGCAAAGGTTACGCTTTTATTTTGGCTATAAAGAGATTTTACGGAAAAGTTGGTTAAAATTCGTCCCCCACCCCCGCTCCCCCCACAACAATCCGATAATGCAATTCGGCACATAAACGACCAAGTCTCTCGTGCAACCTCAAACAAAGTCGTCCCCAGGGCTTTTTCCTCCCATTTTAAGGGAGAAGCCCTGGGAACGAGGTTGAACCTCAAAATAGCCAATAATGGCTTCTTCTTTCGCCATCTACTATGACTTCAATAGGCACTGCAGCTAGCCATTCACGTGGTATAAAACCGCCGTGCTGGCGAGAAAGTCACACTGGGACCAGACAAGCAGAGAAAAGTACCATTTAAAATTATGTTTGTCTCTTGTTTGTCTTGTACCGGTGCGACGTTTGCTCCCTAGCACGGCGGTTTTGTACCACGTGAAGGGCTACCTGCAAAGGGCCAATTAGTGAAATGAAATTTATCATACCTCGAGTGTTGATGTTATAAGGGACTTCAAGTCCAGGTCCGTGGAGTCCAGGGCCTGATACACCGGTCCTTCTCTCTGCACCACGCCCCAAGCCAGCTGATGGGCAAAAAGAAGCCCCACTGGCAAGTGATCCGCTGGCTCACAAAGAAGAAACACTCGCCACTGAGAAGGAGTTGATGAAGTTTCTACAAACGCCATAAGAGAAAATATCACCACAATGTGTTACTGAATGTTCGTGTTAATGCGCAGCATCTAGTTGAAATAGCCTGGTTATGGACATTCTGCTTAACTCGCTTTCATGTTGTATTTCCGAATGGTACCAAATACGTAAATAATTGGGATAAATACGATTTTAGAAAGCCAAGCAGAATGACTAGTACATAATAAAGTGTAGGGGTAAAATGATGGCAATGGTTCCTCAGATTTCACGTTGTGACAGACGTTCAAGAAAATCACTGTCATACCAGTTGGGTTGATCTCATTGCTTCAGACGATTTGTTCTTTACGATTTCAAATGTGGATGTGTCTAAAACACCAGCTGTTTAAAACACTAAGGGGCTATTCAAATGATAACAGAATGACTTTCACTCTGGATCGAGTTCATTCCGTCTCCATATATTTCTCTGCATTTGTTTGCATGATACCAAAAGACCATTTCGTTCCCGTACAAGTCATTCTGGTTTTTATTCCGAATAAAATCGTCGTTTTGGTACAAATTCTGGTATCATGTAAACTGAAAACGAACTTTGTTCTGGATCTTACATCGCAAATCGTATAGTCTGGCACGAATGGCGCATACGTATTTGACTGGCGCGAAAACCACGCGAGTGAGATCGCTTGAAAGCAATACGAACTTAACTCTGGAACAGAACTCATTTCAGAACGAAAGTCATTCCGGTATCATACAAACAGACCCTAACTCCCTTTTACGAGTCCACAGCGTTCAACATTGGGCAAAAAAACTCCCACCTCCCCACCGAACCTTCAAGATCATCCTTTCCCCTCCCACATCAAAATGATACGCACCAGCTTGTAATTGAAGCCTCGATAACCGATTGTAGAGTTGCTCCAGCCATAGACGAGAAGCCAATTGAAGGTTTTCTATTACCAGCCAAGTGTCAGTCCACACAGCCGTTGCCAAGGCAACATCAATGACCTCTTCCTGTCCGTGTCCCACAGATATCTGTTGGCACTGTACATTGTGGGCCTGTAAAAGGCGAATTAACTAGGTTCAATTCTTAGTTTTGTACATTTGGCAACTTGTTTATCTCAGCAGTGCTGCAAGCGAGTTGGTTCGTTTGGTGGGTGATTAAAAGTGGCCCTTCAGTCTATCCTGAATAACCTTGAAAATTAACGTGTTGCTAATAAAACAAATTTTACCCGGTGTTAAACAAAACCGCATTCTAAGCCATTTTCAATTTGACAGCCCCGATATATAAACGCTGTCTCCGCATTCGTATTCTAGCTTCTCCGTTGGAAGCTCCACACCTTTCCCTACTTCCGACCGGAACAGGGACAAGAAATATCCGAGGGAGAAGCGGTACTTGTGTTGAACACTGCACACGGAACTCAGCAGAGAGAGCATCATAACAGCGCCTTTGGCCAGCGGTAGAAATAGTTCACGCAAGCTCCTTAGCCTGTTGAAGGTGCTGAGAGTGCGGTGACAGGAAGTGAAACAACACAAATCAAGTTAAGTGCCGCAGAGTACAAACTGGTCTCTCGTGTATGAACACTGATCTTTAAGTTCCATTGTAGAAAATGACTTTGGAGGCCTTCTCTAATCCTTTAATTTCACAAATAAGGGCAAACCAGATTTTTACTGTTCCCTTATTTTGCACTGCGGATCACCTAGTGCCCATAACATTGCGACTTCAAAGGTGGCAGTGATTTTCACCGGTCGCCTAAAAAGAGGTCATTTTGGCTCCCTTTGCACTCATAATGCTTTTGATGGCAATTTTGATAATTATACTCAGCTAAAAAGGTGTTTGTCTTGAAACTAGCCCCAGTTCCCCCGTGCAAAATGATCATTTAAAGCCAAAATCATCTTTTTGCAGTCCTTTTGTGATGAAACGAGGACGGTGACCCCCCCTTTTTTATTTGTGTTTTTCACTCCTTATGGCTACACCAAAAATATATATTAAACATAAAAAGTTCTTCATTTTCTAAAGTCTAGAATAAACAAACACAACCCTGATCTCCTGTATTGGCAGAAGTTTTTACTTGTTTGCCCTCTGAGAAACCATGTGATATGGCTTTTATCCCTTCAGTCTTAAAGCCCATGCAAAGATGGTGGGTATTGTGAATAACGTCTTTAGCCATCTAAACAGGAATACTGTATTTCCTCAAATAATAGGCAGGGGTGATTATTATATTCTTTTTTCTCACAAAAAGGGGGCGATTATTTGAGGAAGGCGATTATTTCAAATAATTGCTCAGTGGAGGTTGTGTCCTAAGTATTTTTTCCAAATTTGGTTCCTTGATGAATTTCCGGCCTCAATATCCTGGGTGTCAGAGCTTGAATCGTCACTGATCATTCTGCTGGATCTGACTCCACTTCAAGTTGACAGGGAGGGTATAAGAGAAAGAGAAGATGGCGAGAGGGGTGAAGAGTGGGCGATTATTTGAGGGAGGCAATTAATCAAGGGACGGCTATTATTCAAGGAAATACCGTAGGTTTGTTATCCTCAAGACAATATGTGATAATCAGTTGTCCACATTTCTTTCCCCATTCTTAAATTCCTTAGTGGGATAGGGCTTTGCATCAACCATTGTCTGGGGGATAGAGAAGTGATCATCAGTACAGAAATATGTGTTGATACCCCCAGACCTGGCTACTTAAAGGTCCATGAACCGCAATAATGTTCCAGGCGCAGTTAGTTCAGTGGTTGAGTGGTCTTACCAGCATCCAAACTACAATCAATTGGACAAAATCTTGGGACAAACTTGCATTTGTTGGGCTTCCTTAAAATCACACATGCCCAACCCCTTCCCCCATCCCACAAATAAGGTTGGATTTACGGCAGGGTGGAGGGAGACCTGCCAGACATTTTTGGAAAACTCAGTTGCACTGTTTTTTGAGGGCACCAAGAAATTAAAGAAAATACTGCCACACTGTCCCAAGCACTTTTGTCCAGGATAGCTGGACCTATTTAGAGACCCCACTTCAATCCCTGGCTGAACCACATACAGTCAAACCTCTATTAAGTGGTCACCCTCTATGGCCTCTATTGAACGCTCACCTCTATTAAGTGGACGTGGTCACTGTTTGGATTTCCCAATTGGCTAATTCACTGTAATAATTTACCTCTGTTAAACTCTCACCTTGTCACATAACAATTAATAATTGCCATATTTTTTAACACGAAGATAACTGAAGTAATTCCAGTTTCTTTCACAATTGATCAGACGCAACATAACATTGTAACCCCAGTATTAAATACACATCTCTCTCTCCATGTTGAAAAAGGTTTTAAAATTGCTGATGTGCTTGATTGAAAAGATGCTTGCCCTACAAACGACATTACTGTAAAAATAAATTTGTTGTTTAGGTATGAACTCCTCAGAACATCCAGATACTTTTATCACATTTCCTGTTGTTGTATGAACAATAAATAATACTGTAAAGACTGATGAACTTTGCCCTCTATGTCAATTTCTGCCACATTATGGGCTTAATATTTTTAGAAAACCTCTATTAAGAGGTCAGCTGGCTAATTTCCAAGGGTGACCACTTAATAGAGGTTTGACTGTATCTGTTCATTTCCTTACATGTAGTTGTGTTAAATTACATTCGGTTCCCAATTAACTGTAACTGTATACACAGTCAGGGCTGTGCTCTAGCAGAGCCCGGTGGCCCCTGGCGCCTAACTTTTGCCCACGGGTGACTAGAAAATCTCAGATTTTTCATACAAATCATATGCTGGGCACCCTAGATTTTACAGTTTCAGAGCACTGGGCTCCCTTCAATTTTCCTTAGAGCACAGCCTTGACAGTATATAATTATTACAAAAAATGGTAACAAGCATGCTCACAAATATTTTGAGGCCTGTAAATCCTTACCATCAGCTAATATCTTGATTTTAGAGGCACACATATCATCATATGCAGATCCTGCAGCACCCTGGGGTGCCTGTGTCCCTTTGTACAGGCCACCTTTAAATATCAGAAAATAAGAAAAAGAAATGTATATAACACCAAAAACCACAATCAACAGCTAGGTAAAGTATTGTTGCTCTGCACAAGGAAATTACACTGACAATAGGACTATTATTCATCCACCTGGTCAGAACACTCGTTGTGCAACAAACTGTCCAGGCTTTTTTTTGCTTAGAATACTTATTGTTTTCAGATTTACAAATCAATAACATTAGAAATTTCAGGGGCTATGAATGATTTTTCCAAACAATAATGCACGGTTGAATTTTACTGGCTACCACCCCCTTTGCCCTTTCAAGGCAACCCCCAGGAAAAGTCGGGCCCTTAGGGCCCAGGGGTGAGCAGTTGTTTGAAGTGGTCTTGTACTGGGAAAGGAGGCAGGGAAACTGTCAAAATTAAAGGAACAGTATCCCGTTACTGCGCATGCACCAAACTTTGATTTTTGGACAGGATGTTGTGAAATCAAAAGATGCTAGGAGAGTAAGAAAACCTTGAAAAATCTGTTTGCATCACGCTTGGCCTCGCGAGTTCAATACTACACTAAAACTTCTCAGGATTACAGATCAATGATATATTGTTTCGAAAGCTTTGATTTGGGCAAAATCGGGATTTTTGGCGTTACTTTTATTGCTGCTGGCCGCGGGAGGACCAAAAGATGGGAAGCACTTTATGCCGATTGAAGGCTTATTTCTTCTGCTAGCTTCCATACAAGCCCACTACAGATAATTGTGAAAGGAATAAGAAGAAATGAAACAGCAATAAAGGCTGTAAGAAAGAAACCATTGAGACATTGATGTGGCTGAGGAGATCTTGTGCAATTAAGCTTCGTAGAACAGAATCTTTTGTAACGAGGTGTCCTTAAACTTTTAAATGAACCTCCCTATGGCAGACAAAATCAAACAAAGAGGTGCTTCATGTTTATAAAAACTAGCGCCATGAAATCATGACTAACCTTTGTGATGATTCATAGCATTGAGATTGCATTTTTATTTATGTCTTTCAAACGTTTGAGGCTAGAATGCGAGCAAATCAGGTAAATATTACTGGACGGGGAACAATTGACCTCTGACACGACTTAAACATTAGAAAAGCTGTTCTTAAAGCGAGCGGAACAAGATTTTCGGGTCGCGAGGCGGCCCTGCTAGCGATAAAATCGCAATGAGTCTTCGTGCCATGAGCCAAATTTTAAATAAAACTAAAGACTTCTTCGAAAGTCTAATATATTACTTGAGAATGTAAACAACAAATCACCATTGGCGGTGTGGTCCAGAAGGAAATCTTCTCTAGTCAATATGATAGTTCTATTGTCTTTTGAAGAAAAAACAGATGACGCTCACGCATGCGCATAATTGGGACACTGTCCCTTTAACTTCTTGTTGTTCTTGTGAAGTACGTTATTTCTTGGTTGAGATTATCGCAGAGGAACATGAGGAGAAGACTCCCAAGAAGCCCTGCTTCAATAAAAGGTAAAAATGAAACCTAAAAAAAAATTAAGTCATCAGCTCGTACTGAGAATGGTAAGCAAACAAGTTAAAAATCAAATTCAGTATTACTAAACCTGGGCGTCCTGTGCAAATCAGAGTTTTGACTGACACTCAAAGACGGGGGTCTTCTTTTTTGTTGTGTTGTTTTGTTTTGTTTTCCAATTCTTTGTTAAAGTTTGGGGATAACATGCACGTTTTTTAATAAATTACTTGTATCGGCTATTACGCCAATCAAATAAACAAATCAAATTTGCCTCGTCAACATTCATGCGATTAGTGTTACATACTTTACCTAGAAGAACAGGTTTCCACCTAATTTTTGCCCCAGTTCGACGAGCAACACCCTCTATCAGCTTACTTGCGATAAAGGCGAATGGACAAACAACATCATAGTAGAATACAACTTCTTTCACTCCAACAACCGCTCGAGAACTGTTCTATTCCGTCATGACAGAAGATTCTGCGACTGTTTTTTGCTGTCCGAAGCTTCTCTCCGACACTCCGACAGCTCCGACTGTTACCGCATTACATTTGACTGCGGTCTGCTACCAAAACGGTTTATGCGTCATGTATATGAACATGAACCCTGACGCACGCGACGGCATAGAAACCGCGAGGAGATTGGGGCAACTCGCGGCTTTCGCGGCTTCGCCGCTCGTGCGCCCGGCTCGACAAAACCGCCACGCTACGCAGGCTAGCGAGATGAGGGAAATGTTTATCAGTACAGCTCTCTTTGCTGTGGAATATTGATGCCAGAATGATAAGTATCTTGTTACATGTGGTTTCGGCAACTTTATGGAAGGATAAGGTAACATCAGTGTGTCATGACCAGTATCAATGCCAATATTCCCCGAAAGGGGCGAAATTACAAACTTGCTGGGTGGCACGCCCGCGGTCCCGATCTTCACTAAACATTTCCGCGGATCAGTAGCAACAAATCAAACCACAGCAGATGTTAAAGAGTGCAACCACACGATTACAAAAAGAACCACAGCGGCTACATGGGATTATCAGTACTTCGCCTGCGAGTTGGTCAGTGTCTAACCTGAGCACGCTGGCATCTTGCGCCTTTCCTGTTTGGGTGGAACAAGGAATGGTATGCTCAAAAATTAATGATAAGGTATTGGTCCTTTTTCGCAGATCCCCAATTTAAGGAGGAGATATCCGGCAGATTATGTCACCACTGCATAACTAAGTTTTGTAGACCGCAAAACTCAAAACTGAAGATGGGCGATCAAGATCCATTACACATAGCCACAGACGGCCAAGAAGATTCTCAGACAGAGTTTGAAATTCCCCATTGGTTGAGCTTCGTTGTTCTTCATCGTTTTTCTTGTCACTGGTCTCCAACTCTAACTCCTACTTGACAAGCACTGGGTATACGGATGGAGGTGATATGTACTCACATCAAGTTGAAAGAACTTCTTGAAAGTGGAACAACTGATCTTTGGTTCGATGAATTAGCATTGGGCTACACTATCTTTCTTGCCTATGCCCCACTTCCGTGTCTGCTTAATGCCAGTTTCATGATCTTAGGAGAATCATAAGTGAAACTCTGTTTTAATTTAATCCGTCATGTATTCAAGCGGCGGGTTGGTTAACAACAGGGGGAAAAATCCTTGAAAAAGGAAAAAAACAGGCGATAAATAAAAAAGCGATACACAGGGATAAAAAAAGTTGGTTTCAATTGATTTACTGATCTTACAAGTTCCAAGGAGTGACAAAACAGTTTTACTTTCAAAAATATTCAGTCTTTCGTTAATGTTTTTGTGCGCACGAGATTTCGTTCATTTTAAAACTTAAAACAAAATTCATTGTGTTACGTAACCAACGTAACTTACGAAACTTTAACTTAATTGAATTAAGCTGTTGTTCCCTGAGCTGGTGACACGTTACTTGGACGTTCTCCCGTCATCTGAATAAAACCTGATGTGCAAAATGTATAAGGTCGCTTATTAATCTGTGAAACAAAAGAAATCACTGAAATTCATTGTTCCCAGGAATAGCATAATTAAAACACACCTCTAGAACATCTTTTTTATACTCTGAAAATGATGAGGAATATTAATGTTTGAGGTCACTTGTTAAGAATCATGATAGTCACATTTATTCATTTTGAAAAACACAGAGATTTTTTTCTCCAAATTCCACTTGGAAAATCTTCCTGTTGGGCCTAATTCCTTTGAAACAATAATTACCACTTAATCTGAACACAATGCAAATGCATGTATCAAGATTTTAAGTAAGTTAATTAACATGCGGAGCATTGATAATCTTTGCAGGAAGAATTTTTTATTTTATTTTATTAGCTTTTCCCTGAAGAATACAAAAAAAAACACTGAAGATATGCAAACATTAGTAATAAGAACGTAACAATACACTAATAATAACTTAAATATTTGGGCAGGGACAACGCAACAGCTAAAGCCAATTACTGCGGACCCAAAAAATAAAAAGATATAAAAGTAGCAATTTAAATCACATGCAGCAGCTAATTTCTTGGTCTAAAAACCTGGCTGTGTTACATTTCAAGCAAATACTTTTGAAGCTCCTGGGAGAGTCCGGGTCATAGTTTACTGCTAGAGCCCGCGAGTAATAACCGTAAAGAACAGATTTAAAGTTCTCAAAAGTAACATTATCCAGGTCAAGTCTAGTAATAAGCAGGTTCCAGATGCTAGTGGTTCTAATGAAAAAAGATTTCTGAAAGGTAGAAGTCCTGCATTTTTTAGGCACAAAAGATTGAGAACTCGTTACGGATATGCGGGTCCTTCGCGCGCATTCGCGCACGAAGGGAACAACAGACGGATCTAGGTGAATCATATTATGCGTAGCCTTGTAAAAAGTATACTACATCTAGTAACTCGTGCCAGTAGCACACAGGAAGAAGGTTTACAGACATTAGTCTTTCTTTGTACGAGATATTTGTCAAAAAAGGCAAGCAAAGAATGAATTTGGTGGCACGTCTTTGGATACTTTCGAGTTTAGAAATTAGTTCAATGCCTTGGGGGGCCCAGACCTGGGTAAAGAGTGGTAAAATTTGTCGCACAGTGGATAGAAAGGCCATGTGTTTGGCTTATAAGGAAGTGAAAATTGGTTCCGTGACAAATACTTTGAACTGGAGAGACAAAGATGTTATTGTTTTCAAATTTCACAGTTTATTTTGTCGATGGAGCGGAGGAGTCCATCTCAACTTACTATTGTGTTTGGAGATTAACAAAAACTGTTCAAACATACTAGTTGTGAAATAATTCAATGATAGCCTGAAATAATCACACATTGGGGTCGATATGGGCTGAAGGACATCCATGTTGATGATTGTAATAATTATCTGTATAGCTAATTTGTTGAGCAGAAGCTTTATTTTCTTAACTCTGTGAGAGACCTGTTACATGGCAACCTGCCATGGTTATTTACATACCAGACATTTCAGAAAACAATGACACTTATTCTTGTTTTTTTGTGCATTTGGTTGTCAGATTTTAGTCTAAGTTGAATTTTGATCATGAACAGTTTCTGTTTTCAGGTCTTTTTGTAAATTGTTCGTCATTATTTTTTACTAAAATCAGCTGCACTTTTGTGTGAAGTTTGCCTGTATTCAGAGTGAGACAAAAGTAAATGTAGGAAAATCAACTTGTGCAAATGGGCAAAATATTGTTGCTCCAGCAGGTCACACTCAGCTAGTGGACTTTGCACAGAGTAAGCCCAGAATAAAGTTTTTACCTTATAACAAATACTTTATCTCCTTGACAAGGGATGCAAATTAGGCAACTCTCTTCGTATAGTCCAATGGCAGTAACTCCCAAGTTGCCCCTAATTGCTCTTCCTGATCTGTAAAACAAAAAGTGATTTCCACAACACTGGACTGTAAATATAAGCTGTGCGGTTCTGATGCTAGTCTTTGTGTCCCTGGGAGAGATGCTTCCGAGATTGAACCCAAGATTAATCATGACCTCAGTCTACTTCATATGTCACATTACGACGAAGGAGGATCGTGAGGTCGATCTATATTTAGATATCCCCTGACAATAACCCACCCAACCCAGGAAAGGTTGGCCACACCACCGGGGGTCTGCGTCCCCTACTCTTTTCGAACTGTGACGTGGGTTCTTTTACGTCCCACAAGAACCAGATAAGTGAAATTGCTGTGAGATAGGACCTACAGTTTTTCGTCCTTATTGGAGAAGACTTGAAAATCTAACCATTTGTAGATGTCATTACAAAGACATCGAGACAGCACTTTCTTCTCAGTTATTTAACGACCCTGATTGTTGGTCCCGCCGGGCTTTGAACCCGTGACCTACCAGTCAGCAGACCAGCACTCTCCCAACTGAGCTAACCAGGCGGCGGCGTTGCCTTGTTGTGCACTGTTTCCTCAGAAAAGAAACTTTGCTTCACTGTCTCTCTTTACCTGCAGGTGTATGGATGAGTGTTGGCGATGCAATGTAACCTGTGATGGACTGTCATCCCATCCAGCCAGGAATAGAAATATTCGCTTGATGCTATGAAAGCCATGATGGGCCTCTAAGCATTTCTGCCGACTTTACCTTACCAGCCAGTCCGTTGAATGACTTTTTCAGTGGCATTAAGTTAAATCTTCACGGGTTCTCTAGCTATGTCGGGCACGCCCACATGGATTTGATAAGTCTGTACCATTCCTGTCTGTTAGCCATGACAGATGGAAGATGTAGTGTCGCTTTCTAGTTGGTGAATGAATTTTGTGGCTAGCTGCCCCCTTGAGTGGCGGCTTTCTTTTGGTACTTAAAGAAGTACTGTTTGGGAAACAGTGTCGTTCTTGCTTCTCCAACAGTGGCCGCTAAACTGCAAGTGACATATCTGGAGACTTGTTGAAATTGGGGGCAGGTCCCCGTTGAGCTAGCATCACCCAAAACTCTTTAACAGGGATAAAGGGAAGTTTGTAGCTTGCTTTTCAATGAGATTGTTTATGCCATAGCAGCTCATCTGTGCTCTAAAGTTCAAGTTCGTTTTATTCATCACGTAAATCGACGGCACAATAACTGAAGCACTTGAACAATTCGAATCAACAACTAAAACAGAAAATGAGGGAAGAACGGAACAAAAATTAAAATGAAATTCTAATTTGATATATATAAGTAAGAAGATAAGAAGTGTGTAGTGTTCAAAGATGGCTTTCATTGAGAGGAAAAGTCGTATTTTTTGCACTGTCATTATTTGTCGACGAAGAGACACGGACCAGTGACCTAACTAGAACTTGAAACAAAGTCAGTACATTTGTAAGCTTGTGCCGAGCTAATGGTAACAGTTGTATTTGTAGTGATATTGTCCTCACAATACAGTTAGTTTTCAATTCATTTAACTCTGATGGCTGAGTTGTAGTAATCTCAGTGTATCACATGATTTCTTTTTGCGCTTTTACACTGAATAATGCTTGACGATAAAAGATCACAAAAAAGAGAAAATCTGAAAATCCATAATTTTTTTTAGATCTAGATCTTTGAAGAATAAATAGTACCACGCGAAAATAC